TAAAATTTAAAAAAACCAAAAGAAAATTGTGGAGTTAAAAAGCATAATTATTCAGCACTTGGGAGGCTGAGGCAGGAACATCCCAAGTTCAAGGCCATCCAGAGCTACATCATGAAACTCACTCAAATAAAAATAGAAATAAATGAAGCATAATGGTGCACACATATTATCTCAGCTACTTGGGAGGTGGAGATGAGAAGGGTAACAGTTCAAGGCCAGTCCTGCAAAAAATTAGCAAGACCCACACCTCAACCAATAAACCTGTGTGATGGTGGTATGTACCTATCATCCCAGATTTGTGGAAGGCATAAATAGGATGGTTATGGGACCTGGCAAAAAACACACAGCACATAACTAAAAGCCAAAAGAGCTGGGGGCATGACTCAAGTGGTAGAGCACCTGCCTAACAAGCCTGGGTTCAAAATCCAAGTACCACCAAAAGAAAAAAAAAGCTCAAATAAGTGAACAAAGAGATCTATACCTAGCAGCAACATAGTCAAACTGTTGAAACTTAAACACAGAGAGGGTATCTTGAAAGCCACAACATAAAAACATTATGGGGAAAGAGAAACATTAATACAATTAATAGCTAACTTCACATCAGAACAATGGAGGTCACGAATTAGTAAGATGACACATTCAAAGTGCTGATGAATAAAACTGCCAGCCAAAATAATTCTATATCCTGCAAAACTCTTTCAAAAATGAAGACCAAGCAGAGGAGAGTGGGGGGCACTTCTGGAATCCCAACACTCATGAAGCTCAGACAAGAAGATCGTAGTTCAAGGCAGCCTGGGCTACATACCAAGTTCCAGGCCAGCCTGGGATTCACAGCAAGACCCTAACTCAAAAAAACAAAAACAATAATGAAGATCAACTGTTTATCTCTGTTCTCTCCTTCTTCTTAAAAGTTGCTATTTGGTCTTCATGGTTGTATGTGGATGGGGCTTGGTTAGGCAGGGCAAGAAGTGGCTGGGTGCTCTGGCTAGAGATGGGCTCTGACCTCAGTGTTTCTACAATACTTTCTGAGCTGTTTGCTCCAGGCAAGTCATGCTGGTGAAGTCCTAGCCAGGAGCCATAGCCTGGTACATTGCTCTTTTTTTCTGGCCTCCTCTGCGCCTTATATCCCATCTCTGCTTTCCAGTTTAGGAGCTCAAGCATGAGACAATGGTGTATACTCCTTATGTTGTCATTCCAATTTTGCTCTGGTTTTAGAAAAAATTTCTAGAGAATCACACACTGTCTGAATTCCCCTTTTGTTAGTCATATATGGCCTTAAAAGGCTACATAAGTTATATAAGAATCCAATGATTAAAAAAAAGTCAAAGAAGTGAAAGCAGACTGTATGGGGGCAGCCATAACCAACAGAAAACTCTCATAAAAGGAAAGACTGAAATGATTTCCCCAAAGGATCTCAATTGTTTTTAAAAATGGACCTGATAATATGAAGCACCTTCTTTTTTCTCTGACTTCTGAATTCAGGATATTTAGATATTTACCTGATACTGATCAGGATATAAATGGTACTTACATTTCCAACGTATTTAGTTCTTTTTTCCTTAAAGCAGCTTTCATTTCTATTACTGCAGCTTTAATAATATGAATGAGCAGAAGGTTTGTGCCAGCAGACATTCTGTCACTAAATTGGTACTTAAAAAATCCTTGACCCTATAGCATTCATTCATATGAATGTGACTACTCTTTGTTCTGATTTCTTTGGGCTCTTAAGTTGAGTGGAGTATAAGTTCACTGTGAAACAATGCAGATGATGATGTGAAGTATAAAGATAGGATTATTATCAAACACAATGGAACAATTTATCCATGAGAGTAGTGAACAGTAATTACTATTTTTTGCTTTCAAGAAGATAGAAATGATAGGGAAACTTCCTTGAAAAAGTAAAATTTTTTGACATAAATGTCTAATTTATTATAAAATTCTAGGCCAGGCACAGTTGATCAAGCTGGTAATGCTAGCTACCTGGGAGGCAGAGATTGAGAGGATTGCAGTTTGAGGCCATGGTCCAGGCAAAAACTTCACAAGACACCATCTTAACCAATGTCTTGCCAGACGTGGTAGAATGCACAGGTCATTCCAACTATGCAGGGAACCATAAATAGGAGGCCTGTCCAGGCCTGCCAGGACATAAAATGAGATACTATCTCAAAAATAACCAACACAAAAAGAGCTGGCTGAGTGGCTCAAGTAATAGAATACCTACCTAGCAAATGTGAGATTCTGAGTTCAACCCCCTTGTACCTCCAAAAAAAAAAGAAAAGAAGAAAAAGGAAAGAAAATCTAACCTTCATTCCATTCCTGCTATTCCTACAAATGTATTAAACTTTTACTTTAAGGGAAAAACAAAATAGTTCCCTTCAGACTCAGGCCATCCAGCTTTACCCCTCTTTCCCTCTTTGTTACTGCTATCATTTAATTTCTCAGTTGTTTGCTACAGCCTAGTTTTCCAAATCATCTTGCCATTATCTTCTGAAACATCAATAATCATACAATAGCACAACAGTCAGCCTATCAGTGCACTGAGGCCACCTATACCTCTTCCTCCACTCCACATTCATCATCTACTTCAATTTTTTATCTTAATTGACACAGCTACAAAATAACCTCTTATCATTCTAAGTAACTATTCAATCACTCCATTTTGATTACTCTTTTGACTTCAATGTGTTTAAGTGCATCTCTGATCCACTGACCTGTCCTGACTTTCCACCAGTCTCATCCTGTTTTCCAGATTTTTAATCACACTCTAGCATCCTGACTCCCTCTTGCTTCTTTGTTCTACAAGTTTCCTAAAACAAACAGTATGCCTTTCACAAAATAAACATTGAGAAAAGTCATTTTCAACATTAAAAATCTCAGAATAATAAAAGAAGTAATAAAATTCCAACCAACAAATAGGCGAAAGTCACCAGCAAACATTTCACATCTATCAAAATTAGCAAATTAAAAATTTTAATAGGTAAGGCTAGCAAGGGTCCAATGAACAACTACTCTCATACACTAATAATAGGGGCACACATCTGTACATTTCTGGAAAACAACTTAAAATACTTAAAAGCATTTTATCTTTTAAGATAAAATGCGATTTTTCTTTGACTTCTTATAGAAAGCTGGACTTCACTGGCAGAGTGGCTCAAGGGATAGCATGCCTACCTAGCAAGTGCAAGGCCCTGAGTTCAACCCACAGTACTGCCCAGAAAAACAAGGAAAAAGAAAAAAATATTCTTAGAAAGAGAGATATAAATAACAAAACTCAGGCTGGGACTATAGCTTGATAGTGTAGTACTTCCATGAGGTCCTGTGTTCAAGACCTAGCACTGCATGAATAAATGAATATCATAGAGAAATGAATTCCACACAGAAAGAGGTTCATTATAATATTGAAAACAACGTAAACATAAAATATTCAGAGAGTGATTATTATCATATTATATTCAGAATCTGAACTCAGGAATGAAATAGATTAAAATAAAATTGCAACCCTCTCTAACATCCAGGGACTAGTTCCAGTCACAAACAAAATAGTTTTACCTTTCCCTGCTCCTTCCCTTTAAATACAACTAAAATTCCAGGAATAATTCAACAGACAATCACAAAAGAATATGCAAAGGTAGAAAGAGGAAGGCACAGTGGCTAGGTGGCTCAGGAGTTGAAGATTAGCATGTTATTAAATTTCCTGAGCTTTTAATTTTCTGCAGTCCAGACTGGGCACTAGAGGATCCTGAAATCCAGAATCATCTATACATATAGACCAAAAAAGCCCAAGCTTGCTTTCTCTGGTCTGAGGAGCAGTAAAGGGACATTCTAGCAGAATCGTAACAGGAAGTCCCATCCTGGTCCCCATACTTGTAGTTTCTTGGTGGATACTATATGAGAATGAGAGTTGCCAATTAAGGCCAGATGGGAAATCTTCATCTTTTAGCTGCATCTGGTGCAGAAGTCAGTCCCATGCCACATGACAGCCACACCAGAAGGCACAGCTGGTATCTCCCAGCCCTCCACTAAACAGCATAAAGAAACTTAGGCCTACCATCTCCTGGCCCCCATCCAACAGCAAAGGACAACTTGAGCACAATGTGTCTCATAACACCCACCCAACAGCAAAAAAGTGGTCCAAGGGACGAGCCTTCCACTCCCATAGGCAACAGCAACCAGGACTGAATAATAACTCCACTGGCACTAGATGGCAGCCCACATCATTGGCCTGGGAATGTTCACAGACCCATTTACCCAACATCTCTCTCTCTCACTCTCCACTGCTAGCAGCACCAGATTATGTTATTTATTTTAAAAAGGGGGGAAAAAAAAGCTTTAATTAAAAAATGTTATTTTACAGAGAGCTTTTAGTAACTTGGGAAAATACTGAAGATATAAAGTAAGCTGAGCAACAGATAAGCCCTCCATGGTGGTACAAGCCTATAATCCCACCACTCAGGCAGCTGAGGCAAGAGGATCACCAATTTCAGGCCATCCTGGGCAAATTAGTAAGGCCTTGTCTGAAAATACAGTACAAAAGAGCTGGGGAATGTAGCTCAGTGGCAGAGCACTTTTCTAGCATGTGCAAGACACTGGGTTCAATTCCAGAAACATACACACACACACACACACACACACACACACACACACACCAAAAAAAGAAAAAGGAAAAAAAGAAAGAAAAGCAACAAACAGACAAAATTATAATATAAACAGTATTAAATATTCTTAAGCATATAAAGAAAATGGAAAGCAATGTTCCAAATGTTGCCAGTGACTGCCTCCTAGGAAGAAATTATTAATTTGTCCCATTTTTATATTTTCCAATTTTACTGAACACTTGTTGCTTTAATAGTTACTAGCTGTATAATTAAAACTCAAACCACAGCATATTAAAGAACCATGACCAAACTCAGAGATATAATTAATTCAATAAAGGAATGGGACAATGTGGCACAAATATCACTGCATTTATGCAAAAGAAAAGGGTGATGTCATTTATGTACCTGTGAATCTGCCCATTTTTGTGCAGGTATTCCAACCCTTCTAATACCTCTCGGAGTACTGTAGCAATGGTAGGTTCATCTAGGACTCCGCTTTTGTGTTCACCCTTTGCCACAATATGCTTAATAATATCCAGAACAGAACCTGAAAACAGAAAACATAGCTTACTAAAAAATTAAATATATAATATAATATAATTGAGATCCATTTTGAAATTAAAAAACCTTTATACAAAATAACTTACGTGGGGAGCAAGGAGAAAATAGCAAATATGAGGAAATACAGAAGCTTAAAAGTAGTAATTTATTCTCAGTTCTAATCTAAAACAGAAAATAGCACAGTAATACCCAAGTGGTATGTTAGACCAGCATCTCCTTGAGACCTCTAGACAGAATTTGGAAGAGGTAGGGTAGGATTTTAACCACTTCTGAAAAATCCCTACGTAAACCACAGCCATCAATAACACTCAATTATAAAATATCATAAACCAAAAACAGACTTCCAGATTAGAGTATGCAGTGTTATATGACTAAAGATATAAAACACAATTGAAATGCAAGTCAGGTCAGGGAAGAAATACTTGGAAAGATCACATTTGTACACAAACTAACTTAAAGGCTAAATTTTTCAGGTTAATAAATTATAGAAATAAAATAGATATACCAAAGACAAATGTGAAAAGAATAACAATAGTAACTCTTTCCTTAAATAACACCCCAGATATCTTCTCAATCCTAGTCTTCCTGAGACAGGAAATAAAGCACATATTTAAGAACAAATGAGAAGAGAGGAAATGACACCTCTAGGATAAATAAAATCACAGAATGCTGAATACCAAAACTGATGATTACAATCAAATAAAACTTAGCAAAGACTCATACAATTTCTCATAATATACTACTGGTCCATAAAGATCATATATACAAATAAAGCAATCTCCAATATTAAAAACTATACCAAGAAGTCTGAAACATAAGACAGGCTACATTATACAGATTATATACTCATTTTTCTTGGTATAAGACCTCAATGATCAAGACTACAATTAAGATAGGAAGGTACAGTGGCTCTTGTCTATAATCCCAGCTACTCAGGAGGTGTTAAGTAGCAGGAATGTGGTCCTGGCAAGCCCAGGCAAAAAACATGAGACCCTATCTGAAAAATAAAGCCAAAAGGGCTGAAGGTGTGGCTCAAGTGGTAGAGTACCTGCCTAGCAAACTTGAGGCCCTGAGTTCAAACCCCAGTGCCCTGAAAAAAACAAACAAACACTCACTTGACAAACTTGATTTTAAAAGAAGCATTAACTCAGAATGGAAAAAAAAAAAAAGATGGAGCCAGGCATTAGTGTCTCACCCCTGTAATCCTAGCTACTAAGGAGACAGAGATCAGGAGGCCCCCAGTTGGAAGCCAGCCTGGGAAACAGTTCATGAGACCCTATCTTGAAAACACAAAACAGGGCTGGCAGAGTGGCTCAAGTGGTAGAGTACCTGCTTAGCAAGCTTGAGGCCCTGAGTTCAAACCCCAGTACCAACAAAAAAAAAAAAGAGAGAGAGAGAGAAAGAGAGATGGTAATAATACTCTGGAAAAAAAAAAAGTGAGGGAGAGCAAAGGAAGGGGAGGAAAACTGTTCAAAGGTCAGATAATAGAAAGTAAGATTCTCTATCTCTCCTCCCCAATGGAAGCCAGCTCACTCCCACTCCCACTTCCAACAGTAGTTAGTTTGTTCTTTCTAGAGACAATGAACCAGAGAGGCTCCAAATCCCAGACAGCACTTCTTAACACATTATTAAACTAGCTCTTTCTCCTCCTCGTTGCTGGGATTCACTAGTTTGTGATCCAGAAGGGGAGAGGCCTAAGGTAGAAGTTTGGTTCTGCTTAATTTAATTAATCATACATTAATCCCTTAAACAGAGTGACTATACCAAAAGGCCAATTGTTTCATCCTTCTGAGAAATCTAGGCCACAAAAATACTGCTGTGTAAGAAGACATCTGTATAAACACTGGTCAAGTTTCATGTTTGTAACTTTAAGAATATCTAAAATAAAGGCCAGGCACAATGATTCACACCTATAATCCTACTACTCAGGAGACAGATATAGAGAGGATTAAGGTTCAAGGCCAGCCCAGGCAAAAAGTTAGCAAGACTTCATCTCACCAATAAAAACTGGAAGTGGTGGCACACACCTGTCATCCTAGCTATGTAGCAAGCATAAGTAAGAGGACTGTGGTACAGCATGCCCCAGAATAAACACAAGACCCTATTCTAAAATTAACTAAGGCATAAAGGGCTGGAGACATGGCCCAAGTGGTAGAGCACCTACCTAGCAAGTGCAAAGCCCAGAGTTCAAACCCCAGTACTGTCCAAAAAAAAAAAGAGTATCTAAAATAAGGAATGCAAAGGGGAAAATTCCTTCTGAGAATTAAAAGTTAACAGAATTTATTCATTTAACAATTAGGCCTTATTATATTCAAGATGTAGAACTGGGTGTCACAAAATAAGGTAAGATATATGTGACATGACTACTGACTTTAAAAGAACTTCCAGTCTAGTAGATCAAAGAAATGGACCAACACAGTTCTTAGGGCACATAAAAATTATTTGATCTGTATTTGAAAGAATTTGAAGAGCTCCTTTTCAAAAAGTTTAGAAGATTTTTTACTAATTTCACATCATCCAATAATCAATGGGGAAACTAAAGCAATGCATATATATCCCTAGTCTACATCCAAAGCAGACATATGAACAATGCTTAAATAAGAGATCCTCTCTTCCTGGCCTAACAATTTTCTTTTAACAATACAATTTCTACAGATGATAGACATTTATTCTTAACTGACAGATATTGTTTCCAAAAGGTGCCTCCTTCCCCTATCTTATCCATTTGATTTACTCAGCATCATATAGCATCTTACTTAAGGACGGCACTTGCAATTATTTCTCCTCAAACATCAAAATTACATAGAATTTTTCATGTCAACTAAAAGAAAGATGAAGGTAAAACATGCTAAGCAAAAGGAGGCTACAGATTATGACTGAATGACTCAAGTAATGCCTAGAAAAAAGCAGGAAAAACAGGGAACATCATAAGAGCATATATGATATTATGTCCTCAAGCACAATTTCAAAGAAATAGTACAAAAAAAAAAAATGCAGACTCCCAAACTCTACAGATCCATTCAGGAGATCTGAGCCCAAGAAGGTGCATTTTAAAAGACATTTTAAGGTGAGTGTGTTGGTGAACACTCTAGAGGCTGAGGCAGAAGGATCTCAGGTTTGAGACCAACAAGCTACATGGTGAGTTCTAAGCCAGCCTGAGCTACATAGTGAAACATAGCTGGAAAAAAAAAAAAAATTTTAATAAGCTACACTACTTTTGATGAAAGCTGCTCATTAAAATCCAAGCATTTCTCAAAAAAAAGCAAATAAAATACTGGAAAATGAGATTTAGCACAAATTTTGTAACAAAGCAAAAGGTTAAATATACACATCATCTATTCCTCAAAATGATCTCCTGTTGTATTGTCAAAGCCTGTGATACTGAACATTTAAGGAGCAATACAAAAAACTAACTGTCCAAGAAATCCTTTACTGAGTATCAAAATATTATTGACAAAGTAGTGAAGCAGCTGCTGGTTTAAGATACTTGTTGTATCTCATAAAAAGCTCAATCAAATGAAATTATCAAGATATTACTTCCTCAATTTATCTTTATGAAAAGACATTCTTTGAATGCAAGATCAACTCATTCAATTTAATTACTAGTAGCTCTACTTACAAGTTTTAATCAATCTTTAGCCACTAGGGTTGTGTCTTCCAGAGCCATGGAGGTTTTGAAGGGGCCAAAATTTGCTTGGTTAAGTATTTCATTTTAGGCCAACAGATGTTGCAAAAGTTTTAAGACCCTCTACTATTGATTGAACATGCAAAGCTGGTCACTATTCATATCATGTATTTTATCTGGGTCCTGCTTAGATCAAGGAAGTCCCCTTGAGTTTTTAGTCTCATAGAAGATGACAAAGTTGAGGGTATTCCTAAACAATAAAATATTTCACTATCTAGGACAGTGTATTTAAATTAGGTCTCTGCATTTCTACATTTAATCCTTTAAGGAATTCTTGACTTCCTCTCAGAAGTTTTCTTAACTACTTGGATTTCTAAAGATCTTACACAGTAGTTTGGTGCTAATAAATTGTGCAAGTAGATACTTAGAGCAAAAGTGCTTCTAAGTTCTCAAGATTTATTAGAGTACTAACAAATCCCAGCATTCAACAAGGTTTCAAATAGCAAAAGATAAGAATATTAGTTGTAAGAAACCACTACAAAATGATTACTGATATACTTAATGAAACTTATTTTAATCACATGTCTATTAGTTGATGGTTTAAAAGTGTCAGTTACTATTTATCTTATGATTTATTTATTAAAGTCTACATCATGCAATGTTGCTAAAACCAAAAATTTTTTTTCTTAATTATTTTGTTTGATGAAGTTGATGTGAAAGAAGGTACCCTACCCTATACATAGTTTCATTAACTCTGGTAATTTACATTTTTAGGTATTCAAAGGGATTATCAGTAAGTCTCATCCAATGGTCCACTTCTCTCACTCCTTCTGCACTGGTAGAGAAACACACCATCACTCCACCATGATTACATACCTTTTGTTATAGAATTCCTCCTCTCTGTCTCACTTCTCCTGTCCTTCCCCTCATACTATTTTCACTTTCATTTTACCTGACTGATTATTACTTATTCGTTGGGGCTTAGCTAGACACCCCACCTGAGGGGAGCCTCTGTTAATCTCAGTGTGTCCATTCTTCCTTCAATAAGGTGAGGCTCTCCTAAAACTTGCTCCCATGACAACTGATGCTTCATGTCCCTCTGAACACACATAATTATTTAATTCTTACTTTTCTTTATTAGCTGTAAGGCCCATGAGAGCATGGAACTAGCAGTTTTGTTCACCAAAGTATTGGCATCTGATAAATATTTAATGAATAACATGTGAGTTGTGCTAGAAAGCCTGATACAATTTCCTTCCATTTAATTTTTTTTCAAGTTGTACTTAGTTTCTGGCTTTTGCTTACTGTATTCCTTTGTTAAATAAAATGTTTATTTTATTTTATAACAAAAGCAAGACTTCATTTTCCTAAAAACATGCAAAACTTTTAATATTTAGAAAGTTTAGATGGAAAGATTATATTGACTCATAAAAGGGTTATGACTGGGACATGTTTGAAAGTTATCCTCCAGGAAATTGGCTGAGTACATCTGTCCGAAGAAACCTAAGACCAGTAGGGACAAAGAGCTACAATTAAAAGATCCATCTACATGTCCTGCCCCTTCTGTGATCAGGACATATACTCCTTGAAGAATAGGAATTCTTAAAAAAAGAAAAGAAAAAAAGCCAGATGCCAGTGGCTCTTAACTGTGAGCCACTAGCTACTAGCTACTCAGAAGAGAGAGATTAGGAGGATCGTGGTTCAAAGCCAGCCCCAGGCAAATAGTTCACAAGCCCCTATCTTGAAAAAAACCTATCACGATAAAAGGGATAGTGGAGTGACTCCAGTGGTAGAGTGCCTGCCTAGCCAGCATGAGGCCCTGAGTTCAAACCCCAGTGCCACCAAAAAAAAAAAAAAAAGTCATTCTGCTTAAAAGCAGAAATGTTGAGATAGCAAAGATATGGATGAGAGAATAAAAGAAACAATTTATTCTCATTCGTCAGGATTTTTTTTATAAAAAACGTTAAAAATTTTGCATTATACATTTTTGTGAAATACAAATAAAGAAAATTATGCTATAGGTGATCAATAATGAAACATATAGTATTACCTAATGTTCTCATATCTGTCCATATTGAAAGAACCATGTTTGACCACCATCTTGAAAGGTAGGTATTAGCAAGGCTTCAAACCATCATATGAACAGGCCTTTAACAAATCAGTCCAGTTTCTCCAATGTATCACTAATGGGATTGAAACAAAAAGGTAATTCTGGCTACACTGAAAAAACATCAATAGCAAGGGACTGTTACTACCAGTGACTAAAATTTCTTCTGCACCTATTGCATGTCAGCACATTTTATTTACTCCTCATCCATCCTGGATGCAGTAAGTAAGGCATCCTCATCTAACAAACAAGTAAAGAGGTTCAAAGAGTTTAAATAGTTTCCCAATGATGTACTGTACAGCTGCTAAACAGGAAAGTTGGAATTTATTTTAAAACCTATGCTTTCTCCTTTATAACGTCTTTGGGGAAGTGTTGTGTTCGGTTTGACGCCATTATTAAAATTGCAAACTAAATTTATTCTCTTTTCTGTAACTCTACATTCTAAAATGGAAAAATAACACTCCCTCACAAAATACATATGCAAACAAAAATGAAGCCAAATAGGGATGAGAGGCCTGGGTGGCTCCATCACTCACAGGTCCTTCCAATCTTGTCATATCATTCAAATCCAGGTGCCTTGGCAAAAATAAGGCTAATTTACCACATGGCATAGGCCTTTGGGTAACCATAACAATATGCTCAATCTATATTTGCCAAGGGTCCACTGTTTGCAATATTTATATTTCAGTGTAAGAATAAAGTAGAAATAATCTGAAATAAAGTAGAAATAGCATAAATATAAAATATGATAAAGTACACATTTAATTATGTTAATATTGGGGAACAAGATTTTCTGTGCAAGACAAGAGAGGTACAAATAAAATATTAAAAGAAGTTTTAGAAATTTGTAATAATAAAACTTGAGTGAGAAAATATTAATGTCAAATTATGATTTATATTTGTAATATATACAGTATTTCCAAGCACTGACTATAGCAACAATGAGCATTCCAAGTATCTATATCATTCCACAGAAAAAATATCAGATCTGCTAAGAGTGTTGGCTGATTCTGGGTCTAGAAAACAGAACACAAATGTGAACCTAAGAAGTCTTGATTCAATATGCAAGGATGTGCCAGGAGTGGTAGGGCATGCCTGTAATCTCAATGCTTCAGGAGGCTAAGGCAGGAAGGATCCGGAGTTTAAGACCAGCTTTGGCTACATCGTGAGGCCTTATCTAAAAAAAAAAAACAAACAAATGGGAAAATAACAAAGCAAGGATATACTCAAAGACTGATGGATTTGTGTCAAAAAGATGCAAAAGTAATCTTGGAGGCACACACAATGACAAAACTCTGGAAAACCTAAATAGCAAAAAGAATACTGAATATGTATTTCAAATAAGGAATATTTTTAAACTCTTGAGTCTATAATGAAACTCAAAAATATGAAAGCCCTACTCAACAGGAAAAATGGAAAAAAAAAATCCTATAATTTACTTCCAATGGAAGAGATTATTAGACCAACTTTTTACTCTGAAACTTATGTTTTTTAAAAAAAACAATTATTTGCTGGGCACCAGTGGCTCACATCTGTAATCCTAGCTACTTGGGAGGCTGAATTTAGAAAGATCAGGGTTCAAGGCCAGCCCAGGCAACTAATTCACAAGACCCTCATCCCCAAAATAACCACATCAAAAACTGGACTGGAAGTGTGACTCAAGCAGTAGAGCATCTGCTTTGAAAGCTTGAAACCCTGAGTTGAAGCCCAGTCCCACAAAAATAAATAAATAAATAAAATAAGGTAAAATAAAGAAATAAAATAAATAGTTATTTATCCAGGCTTTTCAGTTGGAACTACAAACACATTGACTAAAAGAGCCCCAGCTGATAAGGCAAAGTTCCTTTTCACAGAAGAATGCCAGTTTATATATGTAAAAGAAATGATGCGATAAGAAAAATCACCATTTTATAACCCCTGATGAATTAACTGATTCAAACAAGGATTATAAATAGATGCTAAAATCATTAAACAAAGAATTTATGGGGAGCAATATATTCAGGGCATCCAAAAATCATCTCAGAACACTTGCTACCTATAAAAAGAAAATTAATTTTTCCATGGAGAGATTTGTCATAATCTTAATCAAACAAAATGAACATTACTATTAAAGATACAATCAGATAGCAAATATTTCCTGACTTGATGTAATATTAAGTGCACTGCATCACCTATGAAGCATTTTGCCCCAAAATGTTTAACTTGAATTTAATCAAGTCTTTCAATCTAATTTTCAGTGTGCTCTAAGAAACAGAAGAATATAGATCAAGTTAAATGTCACCAAGAAGTAATCAAAAAATCCAAAATGTGAGACATTCTACAATATACTTCAATAAATTTATTCACAGAAGGAAGGAAGGGAGAGAGAATCATCCTACATCAGGACAGATTTAAGAGACATAACAGCAATATGCAATGTGTAAAACCTGCTTAGCTCACGTGCTGGTATTTAGATGATAATGTATTTTCAGTATCTCAAGTGCAAATGCCCATAAAATCAAATCATAATCAACTGTGGAAAAGTTATTAACTTTTTAACTCATGGAACTCAGCACTTCATTGTACTCTACTCACCTCCACTCAACAGCTTCATGACTAGCCACAGCTCATCTTTTACTACAAAAGATGTGTAGTAAGACACAATATTAGGATGATGGCATTGACTCATGGCTTGAATTTCTTTCTACAAAGAAGAAAAAAATAAGGTAATTCATTACATTCGAGCTTAAAACAAACACAAATCCAGATTTGGGGATCTTAAGACTATGTCACAACCTCTTGGATTTCCACAGGCCCATCTCTTCAAGAATCAGTGGTTTCCCTCAGTCCACTCTGACTCTACTTCTTTCACCACTCACTACACTAGTAATCTTTCAAAGTGGAAACATACACTATTTATCACACCCTGGCACAGCACCACAGGAGGCCTTCTTTGGGACACATATTTTACTTTTAAGGTGCCCATGAAGAACCATCTTGGGAAATCTGGTTTTATAACCACAGAAAATTATCACTAATAAATGAGGGTAAGTTTTGTGTAAGGGTTGTTTTTTTGTTTTGTTTTGTTGAAATACTACTTCACTTCATTTGATTAACAAGTGAAATGATTACCAGTTCTCTCTGAAGAGAAATATACTGAAATAGGGCAAGTCATAAATTAAATAAGAATAAAAGCTTGAGCCCAAAGTCTAAGCCTGCTCTATCTCAGTTTATGCATTCAAATTAGACATGGTATGACAAAATGCCTTATAAAGCCCTAAGTGTGACCAGGCCCCTATTTACCTCTTTAGTCTCATTCCGATTCCCTTCTGTCCGCAATCCTATTACCCAGACACAGAATATTTCAAGTGTGCCATGCTGCTTCTATCTCTGGATGTTGAAGCCTATGGTTCTCTTTACATAAGATACATATCTCCCATCATCTTTACCTAGCTAACTCCACTTCTTTCTTCGGATCTCAGTCTAGGTACATTTCCCAGGAACCCAGGCTGAGTTAGGAGCCCTTTCTCTTAGCTTCTAAGCACCTTGTACATCTTCCTTCATAGCATATAATATAATACTGGATAGGTACATTGTATGCTTATTTGTCTGTCTCTCCCTGCTAGAATGAGAGCTACATGAAAGCAAGTACTTAAAGCTGGATTCCTAACCACTGTAGAACTTACACTAAACTGAACTGCCTATTTTTTTTCTGTATTCCCCACAAAACTCTTAAGCTCAATGAGAACTAAGACTATTCTTGGCCGTTACCACTGTGCCTAGCCCACAGTATACTTCTACATGTTCATATACTTGCCTGCCCTAATCCATACAAATACTTATGGTATTTGTTAAGTAAGGTCAATTGTGTGAAGATGCCCATAATCTGAAGTGCTCAATAAATGCTAGTTTTCCTTTCTCATCTTCTCTACTGAAACGCAAATTCCTTTCTACCATACATAGTTTGCTCAAGTCTCAAAATTACCAGCAGTGTTCTGCACTATAAACTAAATAAATATAAAAGGAAGAAGTAAAGTACATATTTGCCTACTAACATAGTTATATGGATTTGAAGAGATAAGATATGCACACATAAAGGGAACAGAAAAAGATGTGCCAAATTAGTAAAGCTATTAAATGTTTTAAGAATTCATAGGAAAAGAATAGGTAAGACAGACAAGTATAATCAAAGAAGTCTTTACAAAGGAGGTGAGAACTAGGTTTAGCACTACAGGAAGTGAGGAAATTATAGCAGTATGAAATATATAAGATATATTTAGATACAATTGTTGCCCTGCCCCAATCTTTTTTGTGGTACTGAGATTTGAACTCAGGGTTCACACTTGCTAGGCAGACCCTCTACAGGTTGAACCACTCCACCAGCCTACCCTGCCCCAATCTTATACTGCCTGTCTGAACTTCTATCCTGCCCTAATCTTGTTTATCTTTCAGGACAGGATGCCTGTAGGCTCTTCAGGTGGGCTACTCATAGCTGATTGGTTCTAAGATGCAAGCCAGATTGACTGACAGACAACCTCTAACTTCATTATTACCCCATACCCCAGCTCTATGAGAGTAGACAACTGCCATGTTGATGACCATAAAAGGAACAAGAGGGGTGGAGGTGTAGTTCAGTGACAGAGCATGCACCATCACTAGCATGGACCCCTGGGTTTGATCCCAGTACCAAAAAGAAATGTTGGGCTGGAGGCATGGCTCCAGTGGTGGAGTACCCTGAGTTCAAACCCCAGTGCCAACACAATAAAAAAATAAAAAAGAAGTTTATAATAACCAAGCATCCTGGTGCCTAACTATACTCCCATATTTTTTTAGACACTTCCTTCTATTCTCATGGCTACCATCACGCCCCTCTTGAATAAAATCCTAATTCTTTCACCAGCTTCTTCCACTTTAAGCTCCCTAAGTATCCCTAAGTATTCCTTCCTCACTCTTCACCTCTGCCCAGCAAGGGTCTCCATCTCTTCTTATCTTCTGCCCGTTGGTGGCCCAAGACACAAACATTTCAACAAAGCCCTCCATCCCTTCTTTTGTGTGTGGTTTAAGCCCTCCATCTTTGAGCTAGAAACATTCTTCCTCTTCTTTCTTCTAGATTACATTATGTCTCTCCTAGGCATTTGTCACCCTCTGCCTTGCACAGTAGACAAGAGCCTTAACTCTCCAGCTAGAATGTGGGACCACTGATAGAAGGAAAGTCATTTTAAGCCTCTTGATGTTCCCCTCCAATGTCTGCCCCAAGAATCTCATTCTAGCATCTACCAGAGAAGAGAAAGATTCCAATTACTACAGTGTGCTTTTCTTAGAGAAAATCTATGAACAGAATCTCTGGAGATAATAAATGCAGTTAAGATTTGATAGCTGATTTTCCCATGATAGTTAGCAAATGTCATATAGAAAATATTTTGATAGGAGAAAGGAACAGTACATTGCCTACTCACTAATAATTGTCACATCTGTAAGTCCAGCTTACATCAGTACTCTTGGAGAACCCAAAGAGCACTTTCTGCGTTATAATAAAAAAAAAAAAAAAAAAAGAAAACCTTTGAATATAAATGTTAATATCACAAGTTTAGTATATTAATCCCAGATTTTTTTAAAGAAATCTGAAGGCTTCTTATTGCTTAGAAAAAGAGCCTCTGACACTCAGGTCTCAGTGTTTGGTAGAGCAGGTCATAACATCATGAATAAATCAGGTATTCTATACATTCCTGATGTTTCTGCACAGTATAGTATAATTTATCCGCTTGCTTCCACCACCCCCCCCAAAAAAGTCAATTATCTTAAGCTCACTCTACTAAGAGTCACTTTTCCTTCCTCATTTATTTGTCAAGTATATACATGCTGTATTTTCAATGTAAAGCTTATTGAAATATTTGGGCAAAATTTATAGAAGCCTGACAGATTTTTTCTTTTGATAAGATAAAGTGTGTATTCCTCTAAAAGTAGGGCCCTGGTATGATAACAAAAATACTGCTTTTGAGAATGTCCTGTGATATTTAAGAAACAACATTCTTTCTACCTTTGAATTGAGACTATAACCATTTTTTTAGTACTATACTAAGTCAAAAACAATAGACTTCGGTCAGAAAGAACTGATTTTTAACCCAGAATCTGCCTTATTATATGATCTGCTTCCCCCATTTATAAAATGGAGTTACTACCTGTCCCAGAGATGCTTGAAGTTAAAAGACACCGAAGGGCCTAGCAGTAGAAGATATTTCTGTTATCATCATGAGAACTTAGTCAAGTTATTTAAACTTTGAGTCTCAGTTTCTTTAGTCATCAAGTAGTAAATAAGATTTTCACTCATCTTGACACTATCCTTGTCATACTTAACATACAGTAAGTAGCAAATGGTAGATATTCATATTGGGTTTCTCAAATTCTAGTCTTAATACATAGGTTAAAATTTTTTGTTTTGCTTTAACAGAATTGATTTATAGATTACAGACTTCTTTTACCATCACTAGAGTTCCAATGTCCAAATGATTCTAAGGTATTGCTGGCAACTATAAATCCAAGATCTTCAAACATGGTAACAATCAGCATGTGTCCTTCCTCTCACCAAAAAGGACCTAAGATCACTCCAGCAACCCATCCCTTCAACTTCTGCACATGCATTACCAACTCCTAATGACATGCATTTGCCTCATCTGCTTCAAGTTTAATATATAATTCTACAACTTCTTTTTCTATCATTCTAGTTATTCCTTAATATTCAGTATGGAGAACACCAGAAATTAAATCTAATTTGGGATAGTGGAGGACTGGGATGTAGTTCAGTGGTACAGCCCTTGCCCAGCAGGTGAAAAGACTTAGGTTTGATCTCAAACACTGCAAAAAAAAAAAAAAAAAAGGAAGATAGAAAAACTTGCAGACCAGTAAGTCTGCCCATCCTAATCCCTGCTATTTCTATCACTATCTATATATGCTCTTAGAGAAATTACTTATAAAATAACAATAATGGTTCATTTTGTATGCCCAAGAAAAACCCCACAAGGTTCCCAAAGCAGATTATTATTACTTCCATTTTAAGCCAAAGCAACTGACAATTTAAAACATTAGATGAGTTGGGAATGTAGCCCAGTGGTACAGTGTTTACCTAGCATGCATGCGTAAGGTCCTGGGTTCAATCCCTTGCCCTGCAAGTAATTAATTAACTAAGTAGGCAAGCAAGCAAGTAAATAAATTTTAAAACTGTCTAATTTTCCTTGCTGAGCACTTATTACATACTTAAAACTATTCCAGGTGTTCCAGTACATAAAACAATCCCTATGCAACTACATTTTAAAGCCACATAACATCTCTTACACTATGATCCTAGAGACTTATTTCTCTTTTCCCTTTACCTAACCTTGGGAGAAAACAATGCTGCCTGGATATCTTTCAACTTATACCAATAATCATAATGTGAACTGGTATCAGGTTTCTAGGAGGCCAAAGCCTCTTAAAAGATTCCATTTGATCCAGGAATCACAATTCCATGTTATTATTTAAGGAAATAGAGAATTAAACAAGCATTGTTTATATCAGTAAGGAAGGAAGAAAACATGGTAATATCCAATACAAGGAAACATGGTAAATAAATTGTTGTCTACTATTCAATGAGCAAATATACACACATTGAAAATAATATTAAACCCAGACACAGAAAGAGTAGATGATAAATTGTTCAATGAAAAGAACAAACATATGATTACATTACCATAAAAATACAAAGATATTAAATGTTCTTAGTTTAAAGGATTATATAGTAAATGTTAATTTATTTCAGAGTAGGAGGATTATAACTAATTTTTCCTATTTACCATGATAATTTTTTTCTATAGTCTTATTAATGGGAGAAACCACAAATCTTTTTTTGTTTTGTGAGGTTTTGTTTTTTGGCAGTACTGGGGTTTGAATTCAAGGCCTCACACTTGCTAGGCAAGCATTCTACCACTTGAGCCATGCCCTCAGACCCCATAAATCCTTGTAAAAGAAACAAATCACAAACTTCATGTTATTTCCAACTCTAACATAAATATAATAGTATATCCCTCCATTTAAGAAATTTGAGATGTGCATACCAGGAGTTCATCCATGCTAGTTTGACATTTCTCAAGGTTTATCCGTTTGATTGCCACTTTCTCCTTTTTAGGGGCACAATAAGCTGCTTGGACCACAGCAGTTGCTCCACTCCCTAAAAATAAATACATAAATGAGTCAATAAATAGATACATTTTTTAAATGACATTCCTTATTCCCAAACAATTTAAACAAGAAAAAAGAAATTCTTATATTGTTCATATAATAAACAGATGCAGAGAAACACTAAAGTGTCGTGGATAGAGGTAAAGCTTCAACCATTTCATGTCTTGTCAATAAATGCCAATGTAAAACAATTCAAAATTCCTAGGCTTCTAGTTTTAGAATATGATGTAGTAAGTCCACACTTCCTTGCTCCTTTCTTCCAAATACAGTTAAATACCTTAAAAACAATTCAATGTGCAGTTATATAAGGACTCAGGAAGGTAGAAAGAAGGATCTCAGCACTAGGAAAGTACCATGGTGAGTTTACTGGGTTTTCCTTTTATCTTCCATATGCTACAGGTGGGACAGCAGAGAGTCTTGCAACCTAGAACCACCAAAACGGAGGGAAGAAGGGTGGGTCAGTAGGTAGATGGATGCATAAATAGACAAATGAAAAAATCACGCTCTCTGGCTGAAGGAATATGAAAGGAGCATCTCAGCAGAGACCTAGTGGGGAGAAATATTCTCCAGTCCTCATCCAGGACAGTGGTTAGCCCAAGCCCAAGCATGGCTCCTACCCGACACCTGTGGCAATGCTAATCCAATGTGTCCTTAGCAATAGCAGAGCCAGGGTCCCACGCCCACCAGTCACACAGGGTAGGACCTGCAGTGATGGAAAAGGAGTTCCAGGGATGCCCAGAACAATAAAACTGAAGAGAATAACCACTATGAGAGCTAGGAAAACTAAATTACCATGGGAATTATAGTTCACAAAAGTAGAACAAGAACACTAAATCCAAATAGAGTAAACTGCCTGATGAAATAGAAAATTTAAGTAGGACTGAGACTCCCCAAATAACCTAAATGTCAGTATACAATAAATAAAAAAAAAAAAATGACATGTCTACCAACAACCAGGAAAAAACATACAAGAATAAGAAAACACAAATCATACTGATAGCAACACCAAAATCAAACAAATATCAGAATTATCAGACAAGAATTTTAAAGCAGTCATCATAATAATGCTTCAAACAATTATGAGTTCTGTAGAAACATATACAAAACCAGAAAATTAGCATACAGAGCGTATGCTCTACTTCTCAGCTACAGCCCCTTAGCTCCAAAAGTTTCTGTTTTTTTAGTTTTTATGGCAAGGCTGAGATTTCAGGGCTTCATGCTTGCTAGTCAGGTTCTCTACTATTGGAGCCTTTCTTTCACTGGATATTTTGGAGATATCCATTTCCCTATTTTTAGGCTTCCCACCAGAGCTAGAATGACAAGCATGGGCTGCAACACACAGCATTTTTCTGTTGAGATGCTGTCTGATGAACTTTTTACCCAGGCTGGCCTCTGACCATGTTCCTCCTGATCTCAAGTGCCCAAGTATCTAAAATTACAGTGAGCCACTAGCATCCAGATAAGAAGTTAGTTTTTTTATTAGCATAAATTAAATGTCCAAACAGGTTTTATTGTGATATTTCCATACATGCCTACTATGTACTTTGATCAAATTCACCCCCTCTCTTATACTTTCTTATTCCCCCTCCTCTTTTTTGCAGTACTGGGGTTTGAACTCAGAGCCTATACCTTCGGTCACTCCACCAGCCCTTTTTTATGAAGGGTTTTTTCGAGATAGGGTCGTGGGTCTCACCAACTATATTTGTCCGGGCTGGCTTCAAACAGTGATCCTCCTGATCTCTGCCTCCTGAGAAACTAGGATCACCCACCGGCACCCAGCTCTCTTCTCTTTTTCAAATAGTATTCAGTGCACTTCATAATGTGTGTGTGTGTGTGTGTGTGTGTGTGTGTGTGTGTGTGTGTGTGTGTGTGTGTGTGTGTGTGTGGCTTTAATAATAGTAACTAGGGCTGGAGGCATGGCTCAAGCAGTAGTGCCCCTCCCTAGCAAGTAAGAAGCCCTGAGTTCAAATACCAGTACCACAAAAAAAAAAAAGTGACTGACAATAATAAATGCTGATGAGGAATGCAATAAAACTAGATTCATATACTAATGGTGGGAATGTAAAAAATGGTATAGCCACTCTGGAAAATTATTTGGCCATTTCTTTTTTTTTTTTTTAGTACTGGGTTTGAATTCAAGGCCTACACCTTGAGCCACTCCACCAGCACTTTGTTGTGATGGCTTTTTCCAGATAGGATCTCACGATTTGCCCCGGGCTGGCTTACAACCACACAATCCCCCTGATCTCTGCCACCTAAGTAGCTAGGATTATAAGCATGAGCCACCAGAGCCCAGTTACTCATTTCTTTTAAAATTAAAAATGGGCCTGTCATATATGATTCACCATTTATACTACTAGACATTTATCCCAGAGAAATAAAAACTTATGTTCACACAGAAACTTATGTATGAGTTCTAATACTAGTTTTTATTTGTAATAGTCGCAGACTAGAAATTACCCAAACATACTTCAACAGGTGAGTGGTTCAACAAACTATGATACATCTACACCATGCATATTACTCTGCAGTAAAAAGAAATGAACTACTGATACATGGAATAACACTGATGGACCTCAACTGCATTGTAATGAATGAAAACAGCAATTGCAAAAAGTTACACATTTTATGATTCATCTATGTAACACTCTTCAAATGCAAAATTAGAGACAGATTAGTGGTTGTCAGGGGTTAGGGCTGTGGGGAGAGGGCACAGATATGGCTATAAAGGGGCTGTAGTCTTGGCGAGCTCTATAATGGAAGATAATTCTCTACCTTCAGCTTAGTGGTAGTTACATGAAGCTACACATGTAATAAAATTGCTCAGAGCTACAAACATATGCACACAATTAAGTACACATTTAACTAGTAAAATCTGTTTTAGCTCTACGATTGTTTTTAATAATTTTTTGACATTCTCAATCATCTTCTTCCACTAATGAAATAATCTTCACCATGTGCACAATGTCACTCCTCAGATACCTAAGCCACAGTAGCTACATAACACTGCACTAACTTGGTAACTGAGTAAGTGAACTTACTTTCCATACCCTAAATATGATTTTCTCTATCCCTGTGCAAGTCATTTACCCTGCCTCCTACATATTAATCCATACATTGCCCTCCTTGCAAAACCTAACTTGAACTCTCCAACCTTTGAGAAGCTCCATGGAAGACAGTCTCAGATTCCAACTCAGCTCCACTACTCTTAGCAGAGTCCATTACCTGAGTATGTGCCGGGTGGAAAGATGTTCAACAAATGACTGCTATTATTCATTTACTTACCCATTGCCTAATTTTTTTTTAGTTGTTTAAACTGTTGAAGTACATGTGTGTGTCTCCTCAAGCACTCAGCAGCAGACATTTATTATGCCTCAAAAGTACCTGAATCTTTCCTAAATCACAGGAGGGAAAAATTATCCCCAACAATTCCCCACCTCAACCCACTCTACTCAAACTGTAGTTTTTTTCAACATTTTAATTACTGGGGTATTTTTTTGTTACCACTATTTTTTTTATTACTGTTGTTCTGGGGATACATTGTGACATTTATAAAAGTTCTTACAATACATCACAGTTGAATTCATCTCCTCCATCATTCTCCTTCATTCCCCCCTTCCATCATTTGTGGAATAATTTCAACAGGTTTCGTTTTTCCATTTACATACATGTGCACACAATATTTCCACCATATTCACCCTTCTACCCCTTTCCTTTTATCCTCCCCCCTCCCACTGGTACCACCCTCCAGATAGGACCTATTTTGCCTTTCTGTTCTCCATTTTTGTAAAAAAGAAAAAAAAATGATGTTTTTGTTTAATATAGCTGTACAGAGTATTTATGTTTATATGTGTGTGTATACATATACATACGTAATATATGTACATATAGATAACCATACACTAAATATTCTCTTGTACAGCCAACCCTGGATAAAAAGAACTTGTGACACTAAAGGAAAAATATCCAATCATTAACTTCTGTCCCCCTCCCTTCTCCATTCTCTCACCCACTTCCCAAATAAAAAGTGATTTCATAAAAATGTTGGCAAAAGAGAACGAGGGCAAATTAAAAACACTATACCTATTGCATGGTGGTTGTATTAACAAAAACCAGTTTTCAGTATAATGCTTGAAAGCATGTAAAACCCAACATGCTTTCACTATTCTGGGGGAAAGGCTACTTATCATATTAAGCATTCATTAGGGGAATGAGACTATTACTTTATTAAGATTTTAAATCAACCTACTAAACAAAATAATTACATAACCTAAGAGAAGTATATGACAATTTAAGATCTGAGGCTTTAAAACTTAAAACTTTAAGGGGAAAAAGCAAAGGGCAAAAATATATAAAAGGACACATTAGTTAAAAGTTTTCTAAAAGGACATACAAGAAACTAGTAAGAATGGTCAACACAGAGTGAGCAAAGGAGTATCTTTTCATCAGATGACAAAATAAAAAAATTAAATAGTATTCTACCTATAGATCTCAATGCAGAGAAGTATGATTAGATAAATCCATTTTCCACAATCACAAGTCATATTCTCATGTATATTACATGCAGTATGCACTTCTATTTCTATTGTATTTAAATGAAAATCAAATCTTCTGATTTCTGAATTTCTAGCAAAAAAGCAGTATTCCAGTAGCAAAAGAAACTTGAAAATTTTGTAATCATTTTTGAATTACAACTCACATAAATAACACACCATGACAAAGAAAAACTATCTCAAATATGCCTTGTTTATATGATCTAACAATATCTTAAGAGTCATTTCTCAGACATGGTAATGTGGTTTTAGTTTTCAAATTACAATTTATTCCACTGTTACTATCATTTTACTAATTATCATTTCTATTCATCCAGACACTTAAAATGAAAATTAACATATAATGTACACTGTATAATACTTTCTAATAGTTTTCAATTTTAAAAACTCCTTAACAAAACCCTAAGAAACAACTTCACACCAAGTATGATGGCTA